TGTGGGGGGGGGGGGGGGGGAAGAAGAGAGTGAAGAATTTTTATCCTTCATTGAATTTTTCTTTTCCCTTTCTTTTTCCAACAGCACAACAAAAAAAGTTTTTTAATCAGTCTTCCAACCAATTGGCGAGCAATTTTTGTTTCTTCTGATTCAAGTATTTCACCCATCACGGATTTCACACCGATATGATAGTACGATTTTTTATAGTTATGCTTCGTTTTACACATTGTATATTTCTTATAGTGTATTTCTATTGTGTTTTGTACTGAGGAGGGCTCGAACTTGCAGCCGAAATATGTAATGCGATTACGATTAGATTTTGGTATAATTAACAATTAATTGTATTCTAACATTTGCTTTTCTATTGTTATAACATGCTATTTTATTGTTATAACACGTTATTTTATTCGTGGACTCCTATTTGTCTTGAGGTCACACATATTTACTATTTTTATATTGAGGGTCTTGTTTTGTTCTTATTTTTATTATTCTTTTATTACAGTTCTTAGTTATCTAAATGTTAGTATTGCTAATTGAAAGTTTTGACCGAGCATTCAAGACATACCATCAGAATCGAAAGCTTTTTTGGTAGCTTCGGGATTCTTGTAGTAACCGTTCATTACACAAGGAACTTTAATACGTAGTTCTCCAACTTTATTAATCCCCAAGACCTCTTCAGTTTGTGTATCCGTCACCTTTATTTGAACATTAGGTAAAGGAAAACCAACAGATCCTGGTTTACTATCCTTGTTTTGGCAGGAAAGTGAACCTCCTGAATCGGTAGATCCTGGCACGAAACATTAATGCATTCATAATATTAACAAGATAATGGAGACAAGTATTTAATGTATTATTTACTTATCAGTTTTAAATATAAATAATTAATTTCTAACATTTAATTAATTAATGTCGTAGTTAATTAAAAAACATAAATGTTATATCCGTAATAGACACTTCTAGAAAACCAGTTACATAGACTTTAATGTGACTAATTAAAAAATTAACTGATTCGAGGGGAAAAAGGATTGTTTCGTAATTTTTTAAATTAAATTTAGTAACTTACCATAAGTGTTCATAATTAAAACTTTTGGTAATTTTTTAATCAATGTTTCTTGATATTGTCTTGGGAAATTAGAACCAGCAGTAGCAATAACCTTTAATGTTGTCAATCGATATTTCTCTAATATATTTGCTTTAACCATTTCGATTAGAATGAACGGATCAATACCAAGCCACGTTACCTAAAAGTTACAGTTAAATATTAAAATCATTTCTTCAATTCTATTTCTATTTCTAAAATTAGATATTAAATTAGACAGAAATTTGTTTAGGAATTCTTCTTACTTACTCGATATTTCTCGATGAAGTTGTACATATTACTTGTATTATCGTCTATCGCATAGTCTGGTACAATAATTCTGGTTGAATATGTTAAAATGATCTTAAATGCAAGTGCAATGCCGTATTGCCAACGTATTGTCGGTGTAAACATGCAAACGTGACCTTTCATTTCGGCAATATTTACAGGAAGTAAACAATTGTGTAGAGAAGAATGCGAGAGTTCAGTACATTTTGGTATACCCGTAGTACCTGAAGTAAGAACAATAATACTAACTTCGTCCGGGTTACTGATCGGAGTACATTTGAATTCGAAAATTTCGTGATTATCATGACCCTTCAAAATATCGTCTATTGATTCATATCCATCTAGCTTGCCAAAAACCACTATTTTTACATTCATTTTTAACTCCTTTGCTGCTTCTGTTAAATTCGCGGCTGATAATGGAATCGTAAAAATTATTATTGGTGACATCATTGAGAGAAAGTTTCGTGCCGTCACTGAAATATGAATAAATGATTAAATGATTGAATAATATTAAAAGTTTTATTATATCTGTTTTTCTTATTTATTTTTTATAAATTTTATGCTTTTAACCAATAATTGTCTAAAATATAAATTTCGAAATTTAAGTTTTAAAATAGTACTATATTTAAGTTTTTAACCGGTATTTTTTTTCTTATGTCAAGATCATTATTTTTATACTTACAATTTTGAACTTTGTGATTGATTTATTTTACGATTATATTTATTGACTGTCTTAAAAACAAATTATCAAAGAATACAAAAAACCCACTTAATACAAAGAACTATTGTCTGAATAAACAAATACAGTTAATAATTATACATATTTTTATATTGCATAGCATATGATGGTAATAGAAGTAGCATTAATATATTAGATTACACACTTAAGGAGAGTTTATGATCCCATGTGTTGCATTTGCCATTTAAATACATGATGCCCAACAATGCTATAATTGCGTCTAAATTATTATCGGTGCAAACGCTAATTATATCGCCTGATTTCACACCCTGCTTTTTTAACCAAAGTGCACATTTAATACTGCGTTCACTCATTTCGGCATAAGTAGTTTGTTTATCCGTAATAGCGTCTATCTAAATTGATATATTAATCATTTGTAACGAAAAATTAATGCAATTGAAAAATATGGAGTTATACAGTGAATACTGTTTAATATACCTGGCCGATACAATCAGGTTTGCTTTTTAGGCTCTGTAGAATCGTTTCAGCTATATTGACTGATTCTCTATGTATTGGATATTCTGGACCTAGTAAGATGTTGTCTTTGATTCTGATCTTGAATTTTGATTCTTCTACCTTTATGATAAAATTTCGTTAATGAATTATTGTTAAAAATAATGATATAAATAAATATTAATATTTATTTATAATAGTATAATAATAACTCGTTTAGATAATTTGATGCACTGTAGTTTTTATATAATTACAATATATAACATGTATGATATACAATAAAATGTAAACATTAAAATTTGAAAATATCTGTGAATATAAGTACTCTCTAAATCTGAATCTGAATGGATAGTTACTAATTATGCAGTAGCATATTTGGCACTGATATTAGAGATTATCCACTGATTCAGATTTAGAGAGCCTATGTTATGAATGTTGAAGACAGAAAAAATAAAAGAAATAATAATTTAAAGAAAAAATTTATTATGCATAATTAAATTAACTTTTTGAGAAGATTTTTTTAAATACAAGACGAAAATATAAATTATTACCTCATTTTTATCAGTTGCTATGTTCCGTTCACACATTTTTATAAATTATATAATGATTATGCAATATATCACTGTACTATATATAATATATAATTATATGTAATCACTGGTTGTACTTTCCACGGCAGCTGAATTGTCACTGTTAGAAAATTGATCAACATCTCCGATTCTTGCCTTAATTTTTATCTTTCCACTGCATGGAACAATATAAACAGTGGGTTTTAGATTAGGCTTCTACAAATTTTACGGGTAAAAAGAAAAAAATGCACAAATACATTTCTTATCTGAGTTTTATCATAAGAAGAGTGCAGAAAATAAAGATATATTATCTATATATGTATTCCTTTTGTAGAAAGATTATTAATGAAAACTCGTGGAGAGGGGATATCTTTTTTGAAGGAAATAATACCTGAAAAGAGTACATTCCAAGTGCTTTGGAGTGCATTTTACAATATTTGAAATATAGAGAGGAAAATCACATATTTTATTATCTGTTTTTACTGATCTTAAATAAACATTTTTAGAAATATTTTTCATTGAGATTTTTCTACAGGAAAAATTCTCTATGTATTGTAAATTCTGGTAGATATTTTTTTTTGCCAAAATTATTTAATAATATATATCTTTAATAAAAAAAGCTTCAAAAAAATAAATCGAAATCAGGAAAAAATGCAAGCCAATGTAAGCCGACACTGGATGGTAGTGTGTAGTGCGTATTATTAACAATAATTGACGGTTACAAACATTTCGGCCATAATTTTCGTTGTCTTCAGTGTATCAACAAAATAATAACGTATTCAAATATTGAGCATTACATTAAATTTGTATATAAACGAGGCACTTTGTAAAATCGGGGATATGTCAGTAATGTATAAGTCAGAAGTAATCGTCCGTGGATAAAATCTTTCATCGTCTATTGCATCTAGCAGAATGCATTTTTCGAACGTCTGAAGATTTTTCGATAGTTGTTAATTTTCGACTTTAATTTTTATTATAGTAGAACACTTTTAATTTTATATTTTTACGTGTAATGATATTTTTATTTATTTTGTGATAATATAATTTACATTATATTGAGTTTTTTAATTTTTTAATTTTTATTTAAGAAAAATTAGATAATTTTATATGTTATCAAAATATAAGAAAAACTTGTACATTTTTGTTTATTTAACATATCTTTATGAAAATTTCTATCTTTCTAATCAATATTGTTATTATTAAGCAATCTAAATATTTTTTTTAAATGATGTAACAATTTACTATTGTGTGTAATTTGTATATGTGCAGTAGTATTTTAATTCACAAACATATTTCGCAGTTGCTTCTTCGCAATTTTGCCTGTAGCTGTGCGTGGGAGTTTATCGAGGAATGTAACTCCACCGCGAAGTTTACAATATTCTGGTAGATTTGTCGCTACCAAATCATGGAGCTCCTCTTCCGTTACCTATAATTGAAACATTTTTTTACGATTACAATGAAATTATATGAATATGAATTTTAAATATGATAATCGTTCTTTTCATGTTCACTGTATGGAATAGATATGACCGTTTTACGATTTTTACCGTTTTATGTGGCATTCGAGAAACGACAGCTTTTGGATGCTGACCCGCAATTTCATGTGGTATTCCTATTACCGCTACTTGAGATACCGCAGGATGTGTCTTCAAAACGTTCTCGATTTCTGCGGTAGAAATATTAATACCATGGAAGATGATAAATTGAGATATTCTATCGATGAGGAAAACATTTCCGTCATCATCATAATATCCTATGTCGCCACTAAGTAACCAACCTGAAATGTTTTGTTTAAGGTTTAATAATTTATATTTTTATCTGTATTTAAAAAAGCGTTTTCACGAAGTCATTTTAACTGCGCATTATTATTATTTCTTTTATTTGCAAATCTGCTGTCTTCAACATTTTTATATTCATAAATATTTTCAAATTTTAATATTTGCATTTTTTTTTATACATTTCATATTTTGTAATTATATAAAAAATTTTAGTGTATCTAACCTAAAGAACACACAAAGGTAAAAAAATTTAAATCATCTTATTTTGATTCTTAACATTAAAATAAAGTCATTTTTTCTTAACTTAATGTTTTCCTTGTATAAGTGTGTTATTATAATATTATTATTAATAATATTTATAATATTTATTATTTATATATACAATAATATTTATTTCTGTATTCATATAGCTCTCCATTACAATATTGTTGTTAGAGTCAAAATTGCTAAATGATTTCCTCAATTTTGTGACATTCCGATTAATTACACATCATCAGAATATCATGTAGCTCCATGTGAGAGCGACGGATTTGTAACTGACGGGTCACAAGTTCAAACTCTGCATTCCGGATATATAAGGATAATTTCGCAATCCATACTGACTTAACGGGAGACATAGAAGAACTCTTTAGATTTAGATGACTCTTTGACTAGGTTCAGACGTATAAGGACTGATATGGTCCCACCCATCCACCTCTTTTACTACGTACCTTCAGAATCGAAAGCTCGTTCAGTCTCTTCAGGTCTCTTATAATAACCATTCATTATGCAAGGCAGTTTCAAACGTAATTCTCCATTTTGATTAGCTCCCAAAGTTTTCCCAGTTTCTACATCCGTCACTTTTATTCGAACGTTAGGTACGACAAAACCAATAGATCCTAGTTTGCAACCTTTGATCATAACGGTTACATCAGCTCCTGCATCCGTAGATCCTAAAAATGATATTTATAATAACTATATAATATGATATAATATGACACCGTCAAGAATCATCGCATGAAAACGCTATTATAAATATTATCTTAAATATTATTTTAAATAAGTGTAAAAAGTCAATTTATTTAGATTTATAAATAATTTATTTATAAAAATTTATTTATTATAAATTTATAATTATTTGTTGTTGATATCTTTATTTTTATTTTATTTTTATTATTTGAGTAAAGAAGTATTATTTACTTATTAAAATTTAGTATTAATATTTTTTGATCATTTTAAAACTTATTTTTAATTGTTGCTTTGAAATAATAGAAGATAATATTAATACAATTAAGTGGATATTAATATTTCCGAAGATATATTACTATAATAGTAATAAATCCAAGAGAAATGAAGAATGATACGAAATATTTAGTGTCATGATATGAAGTATTTATGTCATATGATACTTTTAAATCAAATTGACTTATACCATAACCAGTAGTAATGAAAGCATGAGGTAATTTCTTTGCCAAAGCTATTTGATGCTCCTTTCCTAAATTAGCACCAGTACTCATTACTTCTTTTAAAGTCAGCAATTTATATTTCTCCAATAAATCGCTCTTATAAAATCGAATTAGCATGCCTGGTTCGGTGGAAAACCATGTTACCTTAAAGTTAAAGTGCAAGCTTAATCTCCATTTAATTATTATTCGCAAAGTTAGTTTTATAACAGATTGCGGAATCATTAGATAGAACTTACTCGATATTTTTCGATAAATCGACATATTGCTTCATCGTCGTCATTAAGTATTATGCTACAGGGTGCAAGAATTTTTGTCGAATACGCTAAGATGGCATGAAATGCTAATTGGACCCCGTAGTGCCAACGCAATGTGTGTGTCCACAGACCAGTATGACCTTCTAATTCCGTGACTTTTTCGGGAAGTAAGCAATTATATAAAGATGAGTGCGATATCTCGGTAGCCTTTGGCATGCCCGTAGTACCTGATGAGAGAGAGAGGAGAGCAACATCGTCGGGGCTGCTGATCTTGGCACATTTAAATTCAATGATCTCGTTAATCTCGTGATCACTCAAGATATCCTCCACGGATGTGTATCCATTTAATTTATGGGAAACTACTATTTTCATATTCATTTGCAACTCTTTCATTGCTTCTTCTAAAATCGGAACCAATGACGGCATCGCAAAAACTATTTTTGGTGATGTTAACGAAAGAAAATATCGTGCTGTCACTAAACAAATGTAAATGAATAGAATTAAATGGATGAATAATGTGTGTAAGGTTTACTTGTATAGCTCATAAATCTTGAACGAACAATTAATTCAGTATTAAATTATTAAATTAAATTTATTACATTGATCATACAAAGCATACATTTCACTGAGAGAAAAAGTAATTGCAATTAACATAATTTAATTATAATTTATAATCATTTTTTGGGATAACTATAAATGTTTTAACTATGCAAATATAATCAAGTGTTAAGTGTATTATTAATAATAATCGCATCGACTGCTTGAAAATCTTTAACTTTTTCCTAACTTATTCTTACATATGATTTTATATAGCACGATTATACCTACAATGAAATAGAATATATATATAGGAAATACATACTTGGAGATAACTCGTTGTCCCAAGGATTAGATATAGCACCTATGTACATAGTGCCCAACATAATTATGATTGCGTTCATGTCATTATCACAGCAAAGACCAATTATATCGCCAGGCTTAACGCCTTGCTTCTGTAACCAAAGGGCGCATTTAATGCTGCGTTCACTCATATCGGCGTAAGTGTCCTGTTCACCAGAAAGTGCATCCACCTATAGAGCAAAAGGTTTTAAACTGCATGTTTAAATCCTTGTTTACGCAAAGTTTTATACACTCTAGAAATTAGCGATACAATTGTTTTACATTAATAGATTTAGTGGAAATTATTGTTAAAATACCTGGCCGATGCAGTTTGGTTTGCTCTTCAACGTTTTAAGTAGCACTTCGGATATATTAACAGGTTCTCTATTTATTGGTATTTCTTTTCCTGTTAGAATATTGTCTTCTATTCTGAATTCACGAATAGCATCGTGATAATGGAGTTTCTGGAGTTTTTGATATAAAATTATATTACTTATTAGGTGTTGGAATTAATTCGTAGCGTTTTTTAATGAAAGAATGTTATTTATTTCACATGAGCATTAAAAAATACATTAATGAAAGTACTTCCCATCACTTGTAAAACGCTACGAATTAATTCCAACACCTAATACAATAATATATTAATCCACGCAACACAGTTAAACAGAATTTAAAAAAAAATGCAAAAATTGAAAAGTATTAGCAATTTTTAATTATAAAATCTTAATAAATGCAGCAAAAAGTATATTTTTTACAAGGTTGGTAAAAAACTGTTTTAAACATGTTTTAAACAATTTAAAACATGCTTAATTGATGTTTTTAATATGTTTTAAATATGTTTTTTTTTATAATATTGTTTAAAGAATATTTGAAGCATTAAAAACATATTTAAGAAAAAACAATACATTTTATTCTTAAAAAAAAACATTAGTTTTTACCAACCCTGATTTTTTATGAACGAACTAAATATTTTTTTTAATATCTTCTTACCTTGCTGTTATCAATTGCTGTCATTCGTTCACACATCTTTATAAATTCTTTAATAATTTTTGTTCTTTTTGACTTACTTTAATAGTCGAATCACATTCGTAATCTATATATGAATCAAATCGGAGATATCAGGCTTTTTATTATGTTACATTATCTCTCCCACTCATGTACGAGAAGTATGTGACATCCGAGAGAGAAGGAATTAGGAACGCGACTTTTTTATTGCACTGAGGCGTCCATAGCACTCTTGAAAATGAATTGAATATTTTTTAAGTAAAAATAGATTTTATTATTAGGTGTTGGAATTAATTCGTAGCGTTTTTTAATGAAAGAATGTTATTTATTTCACATGAGCATTAAAAAATACATTAATGAAAGTACTTCCCATCACTTGTAAAACGCTACGAATTAATTCCAACACCTAATATATATCTCTGAACAACTCGTACAATTTCTAGAACTGAGCGCCACACATTCGAATCCAATTATGATTCGAGTAGTTAAGTGTGATTGTTGTGCGATTTTTAAGAGCTCAATGGCAGAGATCAATCTTATTTTGTTAAATATTGATTTTTTTTGGTCAACTGTTTTAATATAGGGAACTTCTCTAAAGGAAGATATGAATAAATGAATTTTCACGCGCATCTATATCATTGTATTTCTATTAAGATATGATGATATATGTACACATATTTACAAGCGAAAATTTTATCTGACAGATGTATCAATTATCAGTTTAGATCAATTATCAATTAATTAATTGGCGCATCACATCAGAAACTTGGAATTAAAAGCTAAAACACAAGTTCGAGAAGAGAGATACAACATTTAACGCAATTGTTTTAAAGAAAAATTATATAATAAGTGGCAATTAATGAAGCATTTTTTTTCTGAAAGGAAGAAAATCTTAAAGGTGATAATAATAAAGGGTGTTTTTTTAAGCCCGATAGATTTTTTTAAGCCCGATAGAACTTAAAATTGTAAAAACTAACACAAAAATTAAATTATAATCAAAAAATTTTTTTTAGTCGAAAGATCAATGCATGGCATTAACATTTGAAAATGATTTCGGGCATATGGCCACCGCGGCTATTTAATTTAATTTTTTTTTATTTTTTACAATTTCAAGTTCTATCGGGCTTAAAAAAACACCCTTTATTTGAAAATGTACTTAAATAATTTCTAATTATTTATTACTTTTACAATATTTTTTTATTATTTGGAACAGAGGTATGTTCTGTTCATTTTCAAATAAAATGGACGATTATAGAATGATTTATATATTATTTATCAATGCAAATTTTAACAGTTTATATGTCGAAATACATTTTCAAAATTTTGAAATAATTTAATCAGTCATAATACTCAGTATAAGCAAAATCATTATGAATATTTGTTTATAATGAACTTACTAATTAATGACGATATAATGAAAAATTAATATATTTTATACATTTCATAACATAATATGCAAATATTATTAATCTGCTTCACTTATAGTGTATATAATTCATTATATGTACAATTAAGCGAAAATCAATCAATGAAATGTTATACATAAGTGAATGAAAAACGTGTCAAGGCGGATCTTCGTGCCTAATTATTTTTTGTACAATTTCCGGTTCAATTGTATAAATTCACAAAAAATATTATTAAACGGAGAGAGAATCTCTCTCTCTCTCTCTCTTCTCTGTCTTAACGTTTTTTATTCATTTGTTATTATATGTAATTTATATATTTCATTACGTCGTACATAAACCCATATTGATATCAGTAAAGGACAAAATAATGCCAATAAGAGCCGACACAGTTGAATATATTTTTTGTTGTTTGATATGAATAGCTTCAGACATTAATTTTTTATTGAATATTTGTTTTTCATTTAAATTTTTTATTTGTTCCAATCAAACTCATGATTATGCTCAATTCTGTGATCACTAAGTGACTATTATTGTATGATGTTCTTGTTTATATGATTATGATGTTTATTAATACACGTTTGTAATAACCGTTTCGTTTAGCATATAAGACGCATCATAATTCTGACAATTAATTTTGTAGACAAAGACTAGAATGCAATAATGAAAATAATTTATTCTTTTGTGCTCTTATAAAGGAACTTAATTTATTAAATCCTATATGTAGACCAAATGTATTGCTCGATTGTTTTAAAATATCTTTTGAATTTCTCCAATATTGAAGCATAAAAAAACATAATCAAATTTAGACTTTCAATTTAATCTTTGGCTTTTTTAATTTTAATTGTTCCATATTTGTATATATTTAATATTATCAATACTTTTATTAAATGAGTCAAAAATAATCTAATCTAATTTAATCTGATATTGCCGGAAATTTTTTAGCAGGTGGGAGAAAGAAATCTGTAGCGTTTTAATTGATATATTTCGATAGTAATATTTCTTTTGCAAATGTTATCATTACTTCAAAGATAATTTATATTATACTATATCTACTTGATGTCTTGACTTGTGAGAAATGTATAATATTTTTTAAATTTAATTGGCGTAACTTTTTATTAATAGTTTTAATTGTTTTTTATCAATTTTCCCAGTAGTGAGACGTAGAAGTTTGTCCACAAATTTGATTCCTCCTAAGCTTACAATAGTTTGGTAAATTGTTAGCTACTAGATCATGCAATTCTTTCTCTGTTACCTGAAAAATAAATCAATATTTTCTTGATCTTTCTACACTTTCTCGAAATTAAAATACTTATTACTATATTTGGGTTCATACACGCATGGTATGACAAACTAACAGACTTAATAAAATAAAAGATGAAGGGTTTTAATCATAAATAGCAATGTTTTTTATGTTTTTATTATATATAATTATTTTTAAGAAACCTTTTTGGAAAGATTTTTATATATTTTCTAAAAGAAACTTAATTTTTTAAAATAAATGCAATTGTAATTTACCTCTTTTCCGATTACTTTTTGAATAAATGCCATTGCTGTTCTATATCCGTTTCATGTGGTACTGAAACCACTGCGGCCTTGAGAACTGAAGGATGAATTTCAAGAATACTTTCTATTTCCGCGGATGACAACTTAATGCTTCTGTAGTTAATAAAATCCGAAAGCCTACTAACGAAATAAATTTCTCCTTCCTCGTCGTCCATTATGTCTTTTATATGCAGCCAACTTATGTGCGTAAATAAGATATGTTTTATTCAGATTTATTTTAGATTTATACATATGTATAAAATTATTTTCTTTAATATTTTTTTTTTGGTCATCTCATTATAACAAAGAAAAATATATTCTTTTAGAGAGAAAGAAGAGAGAGAGTAAAGACTTGTAAATATAAGAATAATTGTAAAAAATATTTTCAATTTTTACTTTACTTCAATTTTTATTACAGTAAAACGCGATCGTGTAAAATAAAAAATAATCTTTATAGATTAAATATTAAAAGATATCGTTATAATAGTAGATGTTATTTTATTATTGCAACACTAACCATTTGAATCGATGACATTTTTAGTTTCTTCTGGATTTTTGTAATAACCATTCATTATAAATTCCGATGTTATACAAAGTTCACCAGTCTTGTTAGATCCTAAAGCTTGCCCAGTTTGTTCATCCACTATTTTTATTTTTAATCCCTTGGTCACAAAGCCGCAAGAACCTAGCTTACTATTTTTTGCTTGGCTTACACACAATCCGGCATCAGTCAAGCCTCGGGAAATACTTTCAGATAATTAACAATTTTTTAGAAAGAAAGATGTTTGACGTAATAATATTTTATTTTTGTTAGAATACTTTTGTAAAAACAAATCTAAAATATTTTTGATTTTATAGCATTATTTGGTATTTATGATACTTGTCCGATATTTTTTTAAATATCACAGTATTTTGATTACCAAATAATCTCTCAGCTGACTTAATAATTTGATTCTTACCGTAACAATATTTAATATTTGGGTATGTGGCATTTTTGCGATAGCTTCTTATATTTTCTTTAAAAATAGTCCACCGATAATGACGAGCTTTTTCAGAAATGGCATAGGATATTTTTGTAAAATATTATATTTGAATAAAATGTATGGAAACGAAATATCAGCTCCAAGCCATGTTACCTGAGAAATAGTTGAAAAATTACAGTTATTAAAACTTTTATTCAATAACAGTAACAAATTAATTTTTAATATGAACAAACACAAAAGGAAGTAAATTAGTTTTAAAATTTAGGGACACACGAAGAAATAAATTAAAAACAATATTAAAAAAAGCAAAAAATTGGAAAAAGTTTTCAATAGAATTTATATATTAAACACATTTTAAAGGATAAAATTTATGTATTAGACTTTATAAATATAATAAAAAAATATTCCGTGATTATTATACTGTGTACATGTTCACAAAAGATTGAAAAAATGCATAGGAATACTTTTAATTAAATGTGCATGTTTAAAAATTGATAAACATAAACAACACAATTTTTTTGATTGAAGTGAATTCAGTTTTGCGAAATTATATTAATTGCGTGTTTAAAAGAATTGAATTATTTCATGTTTTGAACTGCTACATTTATTAAATGTACTGCTTTATTTTTTAAATTTACCCCATCCTGAATAATCCTGAATAATTTTGTATATTTTGGTTTCATCTTTGAAAGCTACTTCTGCTGAAGTAATGATCCATTTTGTGTTTGACAAAACCAGTTCGAATATCAGAATTAATCCGTAGTGCCATCATATCGTAGGCATTGACAATATCACCTCGTTGATTATGTAAACCTCTTCAATGGGAATAATACTGTTGTAAAGGGACACATAAGATAGTTCAGCTCCTTTTGGCATATCCATTGTATTATCCGGAAGAAACACAGGTCATCGCTATGGCATGTAGGTTATCGATTATGATACAACGGAACAGGTCATCGATCTCTGACGGATTAACTTGATCTTGAAGAATATCTGTCAAAGACACGAATTCTGTTAAACTGCCAATATAACTATGATTTTAACTTCTAGATTTTCTTCCTTTGTGGCTTCCAGATTCTCAACGGAATCTGCGGGATGTTAACAATAGACAGTACCA